TCTCGCCGCGCAGCGGCAGTAAGTACCATGTGGACATGGCGCCCCGACACACCCAGGGGTGTGGGGGGGGCGGCAGATCTGGCGGAGGCACAATTCTCGTGCCCAACAAACCAAGAATTGGTGCGTTGTTATTGTTTTCCCACCCCCTGCTTCCGCAGGCATCCACCCAACCTTTTTCCCTTTAGGGTTTCGGGCTGACGCCCTATATTCCCACTTTTCCAGAATTTGTTTATTCTCTGATCACGATAACACTCATGCCGCCAAGGTACCCGGGAGGCAGGGGGGGGGGGCCGGGGTTTCGAAGGCTGGCGAGTTTCGAGGTCCGGGCGGGGTCCAAGCGGTTGGGCGGTCTGGCGGTCCGAGCGGTCAACGGGCCAGAACAACCACAAAACCAGGGGATTCCTGAAGCCTGAAATGCGAAAACATTGGCAGGGATCAAACTTCTCCAAAGGGAATGCGGGGCTACAGGTGCTCAGTTTTTGGGAATTTTGGGGAAGTTTGATCCCTGCCGATGTTTTCGCATCTCAGGCTTGAGGAATTTTAGGGAAATTTGATCCTTGCCGATGTTTTCGCATCCGAGGCTGCCCACATCCCATAATCCACTGCTTACAAAAAGCGGGTTCGGGTGGATCATGGGGGGGTGGGGCGTGAGCAATTAGTTATTATACATATATATAGAATATAGTTTAATCTCATTAATATAGTATAATATAGTATAATGAAAAATATATAACAATATGGTATAATATAAATATTATAAAACTCATTAAAATGTGTATGTTCATATAATACTACTTAATTGATCTCTCTCTCTCTCTATCTGTACATATATATGTATGATATTCTGGTAAATATAAATACAAATAGGAAAATCAATGAAGGAACAAATACATAAATAGATGAATAGTTAAATAATCTATCTATCTATCTACCCATCTATTTATGCATCTATTTATGTACTTGTCTTTATGTATCTATCTTTGTAACTATCTATGTATCTATCTATATATCTATATACCTGTCTATCTATCTACCTATCTATCTATCTATCCATCTATCTATCTATGCATCTATCTATCTATGTATCTATCTACCTATCTATCTCTTTATCTATCTACCTATGTATCTATCTATGTATCTATCTATCTATCTATCCATCTATCTATCTAATTTATCTATCTATCTACCTACCTACCTACCTACCTACCTACCTACCTATCTATCTATCTATCTATCTATCTATCTATCTATCTCACACATATATCTCACACATATATCTGGGGTCTCGGCACACGGACCCCCCGAAGCAATGCGCATCCACGAATCATGTACTTAAGGGTGGGGAATTGCAAGTACATTAGCTCTGTGGGTGCTCCCTAGATTGGTGCAAGATGCAAGCTCCTTTCTAAATGTGCCATTTTTTGGTCTTGAGCCGATAGGCATGCCGGGTCGTTACGAAAGCTCCCTCCGGGGATGCTTGAGTTTAATACCCAGCTTTGCTGCTGAATAGCAAGGGCGTGTGGGGGGTGGACCGGCCCAGGCGACTCCACATTTTGGTGGTTTTCGAAGGAATCCCCATGCTATGGCAGGATTCGGCGCGGTACGGTGTGGGTCCCGTTTGGGTCCCGTATCGTGGCGTCACGGGTGAGGTCAGGAGAGAGGTGTTTCTGGAGAACCAGCACCCCAGTGATGCTCATGATGCCTGTGCCTGGCGGGCCCGGTGGGGGGCTTGGGAGGGTTGTGTGTCAGTAGCTGCCGATAGGCGAGGCGGCGGCATTTCGTGGATCGCCGGTCCTGTGTGTGTGACGAAGGTAAATCTCGTCTCAGTTGCGCTGTTAAACGTTTCGCCAGCTGCTTGCTTCTTCGGGATCGCAGCAGCATTCAGACCGTTATTTCAGTTTGTGCGTTGACAGTCAGCCCAGAAGAAGAGCGCTAGAGCACTGCAGAAGTGCTTCAACATCTCACCATCACCATCATCGCCATCATCATCATCATCATCATCATCATCATCGTCATCACCATCATCACCATCACCATCATCATCACCATCATCATCATCGTCATCATCATCATCATCGCCAGCGTAGTTCTCCGAAGCCCTGCACCCAATCTCGAAAGCAAAATCCCAAAAAGGGCTGCTGTGCTTGCTGCTCCGCAGCCTGCGCCTTGGCCCGGGCAGCGTGCTTTCGTCCCCCCCCTTGGGGCGCAAGTTTGTTCGGGAGGCGTAAGAGAGCGTTGTGCAGCTCCAACGGAACACAGGCGAGATGTCGGAAACAACTCTTGGTCCACCGAGTTTTGGAAGATGTACGCCAAGGCTGGACTGGGCTCATTGTCACGCAGCCGGTTGTTTCATAAAACCGAGAGAGAGGCTGTTGCACTGTCAAGTTGAAGGTGTTGACGTTGTATAGAGTCACTAAGAGAGGTCTGTCAGGACGTTTGCTGTGTTCTGGACTTGACCAGAGCTTCGTGTCATGACCCACGACGGCCGGTGGATGCTCAAGCGATGTGATAGTTGGGGAACCTTCAAGAGGTCCTCTTCATGTGGCGGTCCACACTTTGGATCGCAATTTCTTTGGTGTTGGCTAGGGCCGAGCCAGAGGGAGCGGTGCAATGTCCTTGCTACAACATCACCCGTGACGACTATGGCTTCGGCTGCGAGGCTCATGACATCAATGGGTCTGCAGACTTCCCGGAGTTCGGCTCTTAGCTTCCAGGATAGAAGCCCAAATCAACCCTGAATATTGGAAGCCAAGCCCACGGACATTCTTCAGGAGTCACGAAAGTTGAAATTGCTCTGCTTGAGGTGCAACACGAGTTCGGCACCTGCGTGGTGCAGTGACAGTTGGTGCTACGTGCAGCCCTCCGCTTGTACAGTTACTCATGAGATGAGTAGCTCTATTCCAGGACTTGCGTGGTCTTACACAACCTGTGGCTTTCGTGATGCGTTCTCGCGTAGCAACATTACAGAGAGCCTCCGTGGCCAGACTCTGCGAGTGCAGTTCTTGGGCAACACAGGCGGCTGGAAAGGCAACTATTGCCCCGGTTTTGCCGGTCAGCCGTGTGAGGGGCAAAGGGGCTACGGACCCGTCGGGCGTTTCTTCGACCTGGTGGCCGGCAACGCTGGGATCACAGTGCAGCAGGTTACAGCGGTGCCCGACCCCGTCCGAGACCAGTTGGAGCGCATGGGCCAGCGCTCGAATTTTGACCTTTGTATTTGGGCTACTGGAATGGGATACCTGGATGTTTGTGTGGCTTCGCTGGTGATGTTGCCGAGACGAACCGATGCTTCACCCTTTGTGAATCTTTGGTCGGAGCCCACCATCTTGGTCGGCCCAGTGGTGGACACGGCCGAAGACGTTTCCTTCAGTGAAATGCTTGGTGCAGCCTTTCGACCCTTCAGTCCCAATCTTTGGCTTACGTTGCTGGCTGTCGTCACATCGAGTTCTCTTATCATCACATACTTCGAAACGTCTCCGGATGGACAGTTCAACGACTTGCATGGCAAGAGGGAGAAGGCTGCAGAAGCAGTGTACCGGGCATTCTACAGCCTCTTCATGTGCGAGTCTCGGTTCGAGCCTTGCACGTTGGGCGGTCGGATTGTTGGTCTCGGCCTTGCCTTTATGTGCATTCTGTTCGTTTGTGGATACACAGCCACTTTGGCCTCGTTTCTGGTTGAGGAACGACGCCTTGCCCCAAGTGTGGAGAGCATTCAGGATGCCATCAGACTCAACTACAAGATCTGCGCCCACCCAAGCCACTCAATAACCCTGCAGGTAAACGGTGTACCTACGGCCAACATTGTGGAAGTCCCCGTTCGGTCGGAGATTCTGCCTGCAGTCAGCGTGGCGAGTGGCAGTACCTGCCAGGTTGCCGTCCTTTCGGAGGAAGACTTCGTGTCTGCCCAATCGTCCAATGGTGGCAGCTTCTGTGGTCTCGAAAGAATCGGTGGTGCAATTGGCTCTCACATGGTGGGCTTGTCCGTTTCGGACAAGTGGGCGCGCCAGTTAAATTATGCTGTGAGCTCTGCCGCTGCAGATGGCCAAGTGCAGCGGGCCATCAATGAGCATCAGCCCACGGACTGGGTGTCTAAGATCACAGTACTTTCTTGCTTGAGTAAGAAAAGAACTTGAAAGCCCCTGGTCCCCTTTTCTGCACTTTATTCCCAGGACTACTGCACCAACATCAACGCCGAGCTCCGTAATAGCAGCCAGCCGGTGGCTTTGACAGTCCAGGGTATGCTGGGACCCTTCGTCGTCACCATGCTCTTTACGATCCTGGGTATCGTGGCACATGTGTCGCGCCTGGTCCTGTTCAAAACCATCGAGGAAGGCAGGAAGGTCAGCCGCCATGGCAACTTTCGCGACGGTCTCATGGAGATTGCGGAAGACATCCACCGGGTTGCTTCAGGGCTGGTTCATCCAACCTTCAGTTCGTCAGATATCGGGTCGCATCAAGCACTGCTCTTCTAGCTTCGACACATTCTCGAAAAGTGTAAAGCGGGGAGACTAAACGTGCTGCTGTCGCTTCTGCTGCTGTCACTGAGGAGCATCCCTCGGAAGAGCTCGGACCGGTTCAAGGGAGCGAGAGCTTGAGCCCAGATCAGAATCAGCAGGGTTCCAAGGCACTGGGGGCGCTCCTACGCTCTCAGCAGTCATTCCTTGACGTGCAGGTGGCAGGGCGTGAGCAGACGGACCAAATCTTGAGGAGATTGGAGAAGATTGAGCAGATGCTTGGATCCGAAGAACGTGACTATGTAACAGTCAAAACTTGAGCCCCTCTTCATTCGTCGTTCTGAGAGGTAGATCACCCGAGGTTTTGAAAGACTTTGGGTGTGCTTACGATATGTGGAGCTTTCTCAAACGCACGGGATCCTTAAAGGAGCCAACTTTACTTTGAGACGGCCCTGTCTTCCCTTTTCCGACAGCGAATCTGCTGTACGCAGAACTGCGGACGCTTTCGCACGTCGTGTTTGCAAAACGAACGAGTCATGTTTTTTCCGGCGTCTTGGAAGATATTCCGACTTAAGTGTGAGTAACTGATGTTGGCTGTAAGACGATTCGTGCTCTCGCAGGGATGCCACAAAGCTGCTTCGAAATCCGGAAGTTCGCAGCCCCCGAACGCCGCGCGTTCTCCCAGCCTTGGACCTGGTATGGCCGTGTCGATGGCATCTGTGCATGTCTGTGCCCTGGCAAGGTGGATGCTCAGGAGCCCAGTCTCAAGGCCGCCTTTCACCCACTCTCCGAGTCCTCTCCGAGTCCTCTCCGAGTCCTGGAGCCTGCATGAGCCTGCAGGCGGTCTTCAAGCTGCGGGGCAACCAGCCCAAGGAGGAACGGCGCATCTAAAAAAAGGAAGCGGCTCTCGGCTTCAGTGTTTCTGTGCCAGTGGTCTCCGGGAAGCGACTCCGTCACAGCCGAGACCGTGGTCAAGGGAGCACATGCCGAAGCCTCGTGGAGTCGGAAACAAGCCTTCGGCTTCTTCTGCTGGAATCCCTCTCTCAACCTCTACCCGACTCTACCCCCCCCACTTCTGCTATCTTCTGCTCTTCTTGAAATCTTCTTTGCACCTGACGCAGCCTGGAAAAAGGCGGAATGACGGAAGAGGGGTAGGACAGGAAGCGGGCCGAGGGCCTCCTGAGCCCGAGAGAACATCACGGTTTCCAGGGCAGCACCGATCCAAGCGCGGAGTTCTAGCAACCAGACAAGGAACCGGCTCTGGGAGGCGACCTTTCAAGGTCTGCATCTTGCGTACCTGAGGCACAACAGAAGACTTCCTTCGGCATCCTTGCGACACACAAAAAGAAGCACATCAGGCAGCGTGTGACAGAGTGCTCGGGTCTCGTCTCAAGCCTCAGTGCGTGCCTCGCGCAGGTCCATGTACTCGCCGAGGGACTTGTACTCCTATCCACCCAGCATCAACAGTGAGATTGGTTGGCACTTAAGCCAGCACCTGAGTTGTCCGGTGTGTGGTCTGCACGGTGAAAACGCGGCGCTGGAGCCAGGTGAAGATGGGGTGCTGCCTCGCCTTACGACCGGAGCAAAGCGCATCTCGTATCCGAAGTCGCCGCTCGCCCAGGCGTTCCGCAACCCTACGATAGGTGGCCCGATGGTGCTCTGCTCGGTTGATTGCTGGCGGAATAGTTGCTAAGGACGTCTTCGATGACGAAGCATCAAGACAACATGTGAGCCAGCTGCCTAGTTCGGCGGCATGGAGCAATGGAAATCGTGCAGCAAAACACCCGACCTGCCGTTGGCAGACAGACCCAGAGTGAAAGCAGTTTTATTCATCCATGTGACACTCCGGAGCCCGGTTTGAGGAATGGCTACCAGAATTCGTGGGGGGCCTGTTTGAGCTCTCTGCAAAGCTTACACCGCTTACCTGAGTTGCAGAGAATCTGCGGACTTACGAGTGACCGGCATAGTCTTGTTTCGCATGCAGAGGGTGAATATCATCACTGCAATGACAGCTCTCCGGGTGGATTCCTTTCGAAATCATGTGCATTGTCGTCCTCTTGTCTTGCATTTGCTACCAGCACTCCTATGCGGCATGGTGCGTTGCCTTGTGTCTTCCGCGCAGCCATGCTGGTTTGGAGACGTGACATCGTATGGTAAACAACATTGAAAGACCGACTGCAACTGATGCGTGTGCGGGACAAGCTACGCCGTTTTCATCCAGGTGTGCCTCATGAGTCTTAAGCGGGGGATGATGGTGAAGCCAGGTAGGACAGCGAATGTTGTCAACCACTCGCCGCCCGAAGCTGCACCTTGAGCTTTGCGAGGTTCGAACCCCACAAGGACTCCATCAATGTACTTAATGCGTGGAACGACTTGACAGTGTGACCGAGACATGACTTATGATACTGCATGTGGTGGCATCGGCACCTTCTTCCGCACTGCCGTGAAGTGCTCAAGAAGCCACAAACCCTGTATGGACCGTCAACAAGTCATGGCGAGGCGAAGGCGACCCTTCCAAGTCGCTTGATGTCTACACAGGTCATTCATGGCCCAGTGAAGGTTTTCGGGTGCTGACATCCGAAGGTCCGAAGAGCTTCCAAATCCGCGCCCCTAACCGCCACCCCTCTCCCCGTATCTTCAGCACAAAGGTGATGCCTTCTGAAATCTGAAAAGCACATATCGTGCAAACCAAGCCAGAAGCCAGATTGACAGGGTCTGGCTCAGGCAATCCATTCAGAACAGCTTCTCGCCCAGACACCAGCCCGTCCTGGCCACCAAAGACCACATTCAGGTCTTTGTATTGGGGTTCTCGTGCTAGGGGGGAGCGGGAGGGGGGGGGCCTTCTGGCAGCAAACTGTCGTGCAGTGGTATAGAAACCTGGCGTCTATCGTTTGCAGGCGGCAAACCGAGAAAGAAGCTGCAGGAAGCAAAAACATGCCTTCTAAAGTCAGCAAGTGGCAGCATGGCAGTGTGCGCATCACATGCTGATTAAATTCGCAGGGCCTTTTTGCTGCCGTTGTTCCTGGTCGCGCTGCTAGCCTTCAGGAGCAGGTGCCGCCCGCAATTACTGTAGCGAGGGACTACCGTTTTGCCTTTGCCTTCAGCTACTTGAGCTTAGACCTTATGTCGTGCCAGCTGTTTTTCTACGTGGGACAAGAAGCATGCACGCAGGGACAGGTGTCGTTGTGTGACATTGAAGTCATGGACGGGGTAGTGATCGTTGCGGGCGTTGCGACGCGAAGGTGGTGCTCCGAAGAGTTGAATGCCTTCATCCTGCAGCGAGCCTCGCAGCCAGGTCTGGGAAAGACGAATAAAAGCTGATATAGACAGGGGCATCAGTGCATAAGCGCCTGCAAGTCATTCAGCCCTCGCATGACGCCTGTGGATTATGTAGCACATGTGCATTTTGATTAGCAGCCGCACCACAGTATACCAGCAAGGACACATGCCTACAAGATGCTTCCAGCAAAGATCACAAGTGGCAGGCAGCGTAACTGGCAGGGACGATGCCAAGCCGCTGAAGGCGGGTAAGCGGGAGTCCGGGAGAGTCTTGATTGGTACCGGCATTTTCGTTCGACGATTTTGCTTGGATGTTCGCAGCTTCCGGAAGTTGCGACTTCGGTGACTCCACTGCCTTCCCGGCTTCAATGTTCGCACTCCAAAATCTGTCTTAGCAGACAAAATGCTGAACGACCCTGGCTTGCAAAAGCCCACGTTCCTCGCAGATCCATCCAGCAGCTCTTTCCACTGCAGCACTGCTGCTGCCATCTGCAGCACAGGCGAAAGCAGTGTGCCCAGACGTTGCAGTGCAGCAGATATTCGTCATGGTAAGTCCCTCGTCTTTCGCGTGCAAGCCACGTGATCCCTGCATTGCAATACTTGACAAGTTGGGTTGTCGATGAATGCCGATGTTGTTGCGCAAGAGCTTCTTGCACTTATTTTGTATCCAAAGAATTATGACATGGGGCCTGGTTCAGCTGGCAAGGACAAGATGTACTCGCAGGGTCGTCGCCGAGGGGGTGCAATTCGCTTACTGGCTTTAGGATGCAGTCAACAGCCACTGCCAGGAAAATCGGCGCCTCCACAATGCAGCCACCCAAAGACGACGGTTTGTTGGATTTAGTCTTTGGTGGACAACCTTGGCCCGGATGCCGGCACACACAGACGGCGCGCACGGCCACAACACACAAAGCCGTCATGAAAACTCTACATTACAGTCCACTCTGCCTGGCGTCCGTGCTGTGGCAAACATCTACATGAACGACAGCTTTTGTTGGTGCAATACTACAGTTGTCTACACGTGGCAGTAATTTCGCTGTCGGAACTCGATCTACTAGGGGAGCAGGACCGGGGCACCGGTTAAAATGAGAGCCAGCATGTTTGTGGTCCGACACGGTCTTATGTAAAGGCGAAGCCGAAAGCTTACCCACGGAGCTGCAATTTGCAGACCCTCAATCCTTAGTGATGTTTGTGCTGAATGACTGAGTCAAGTGACCGACAGCATGACGTAGAGTTGTGGTGATGCGTCGGGTGGGATATGGTTCGGGTCGAAGCGAGAAAGACAACGAGACCCACAGCAATGACGGAGTCCACATACTGTAATAAGGCCATGGCTCATTCATCAGTCTTACTACTACTACTACTACTAC